TCTAAAGAGTAGTAAACTTGTATAACTATTAACGTGTAATTGTAAGCAAAATGCCTGCATTTATTATTGAGTGATTGGATCAATATGTCTTGCTCGTATACTACTTTACTAATAATACCTTTATTATTATTATTTAATACAGTGAATGGTCTATAGAGTGCATTTCTATTTATTCCTCTATCGATAAAATGATGTAACTATGGTATTGAAAACAATATTTTGACAATGATAGTTAAAATCTTAAACACATTGTCAACAGGCAAGAATAGCACAACTTGTTATAGAATAAATTTTGGGATCAATTTATTCAAGTTACTTGATATTTATTAACTGGCTTCACATACAATATATAAAATAAATATGTATAAACAAATCACGTTATGTAAAGGACACTTCTCAAAATACATCAAAAGCTTATAAAAGAGAAATGTTTAAGATTAACAGTAATTTACAAATAAATTAGAAACAAAAACAACTTTGTTCTCTGTAATCACAATGAAGACCCAAAGCTAGTGAGAAAATGCATGGCATGCAATCACTTAAAATAAACAGCAGAGAAACTCCATCGACAACGCGTCGATAATGCATAATATATTATGATTTTGATTTCAAATTAAACAACCAACCACCCTAACCTTATCAATATGTACAACTTATTAAATAAAATAAAAAAATTAAATTAGAGAGACTTTAGTACACCATAGCATGTTCTACATATTATTGTACGTGTGCGAATGACCAGAAAATATCTATTCACCGAAAAATACTCTAGTGGAAGATGAATAAATCGAAAAATAAACCAATTAAGTTATAATTTAACACTAAACATTACATCAACAACCTTCCAAACAACTGGTCTTTTTCTAACCTCTATTAAACTTCTTCAACATTCAACAGTTCAGTACGCACCAGTAATTGTTATCCATAATTCCATTACAATTCTAATGTATAATTACATTTATCTTAAATCGTCTTATGTAAAAATATACCTATACAAAATATTTGTATGTTGAAAATTTAATTAGATTATATAATTTTCAATATACAAAGCTTAAACGCATACATTTAAACCTATTTTATTTTGTAGAGATTACGTGCATACTTATCAATGTATGTCAAACAAAACTTAAATGACGAAACGTGTATCTCTTAAATACTAGTAAATAAGTTAGAAAGATTCAAATAAAGAAATATAACTTACTATTTAACTTTACAAACGTCACCTTATGCTTATATGTTAAAAATATATAAATTTATTTAGTTTATCTTATCTAATGTTTATATACTCCGTATATATACAATGTCAACAGAGATACATAATCTTTACATTGTGATCTCTGTCAAATTAAAGTTCCTCAATATAAATATACCAAGAACTGATAAAACCAATTATTATTCCATATAAGTCGGAAACTGCGAATTGAATTTGAAAGAACCTCAGAGAAATTCATTTATTCACCAAAACAAATGTTGAATATTTATTATTATTATATTGTGTACACACAGCAGGAAAACAGGTTACCACGATATATGAAATTTCCGCCATCAGTTTTAAACAAGAACGCATTAAGGTTTAAAATCAGATGTAGAAAACTGAGTTTTGTTTAACCTGATGTCCTATTAACTGTACATTATAAATATATTAAGTTTCAATAATTATGATTCGGGAATCTTTAGCGTATATAATAATAATCTCGTTCTAACACGTGTCCTCCTAAGATTATATTACATACATAGCGATTAAAGTTTTTCCTTATAATATAATATAAACAATAATTAATAGACGGTAATATACATACAAAACAGCGTAACCGCAAACTAACGAACCCGCGTTTCCACGGTATAGCTGAAACCGACGTTTGATTAAATTTTTATTTCTTTGTTGTCATCGTTTGAAAGTCATATTTTCATAATTTGTCATAATTTGATCAAATAATGATTTTAGTTTTTATATTTTTGTTTAAATAAACAGCTGAGATTTTTCCTGTTTAGCCTTATATATTGAAGAACTATTGTAAATCTTTTCTGTATCATATTTGTACAATTTCATATAAATATTTCCATAACTATTGTTGACTTTCTACAAAGAGCTCGTCGATAGACATGCTAAACGATGTAATAATAGGATTTCTACATAAATTGACATCTTGACTCTTTAGAAAATTGCTCATTTATCTCACGCGAACACATGTGCGTTCTGTATTTCGCTGGATATCATTAATTTTGCAAAAGATGGAATTAGCAAGAACGAGTAAATAGTATTGATATTATTTGAAAATTGGCAATTTAAGTATTACTTAGTGCAGTATTGTATATGTGTTTTACTAATTCATGTTGATCATTCATTTTCAAGGGCCGCACTATTTTAAATCAATTTCGATATATCGACAACTTCATCATGCTGTCCGACAAATACGCTACATTAAAATACGTGATACGTAAATAAGAGCTGGAGTAATTTCACGTGGCGTGAACTTCACGCCATCCTTGCAAGCTTAACATGAAAAATTATACTCTTGCACATTTTGTAGCGGCCGCAGTCTAATCAGTGTTATCGTCTTTGAGACCTATTTTTTAATCAAGCTACACCTACCTACCTATCTACATTTTTTCAAGAACAAGTCAAAATTTCAGAAAATCTGTAATATGTCTAAGAAAAATTATGACATAAGTCATAGACGGCAAAAAGATTTGAAACGAGTGAACCAAAAATAGAGCGTCCGTGCGAATAGTGTTCCGACAATAATAAGTGTGTAAAGAAATTTCGAACTAATGTGGCGTTTGTCGAATCTGTTCTCTCTCTGCGGAGATCATCCAATGTTCGAAGATAGAATAAAATTTATAATGAGCCTTGTGTGAATAACCACAAGATGTGAGAACAATAAATTAGGTGTACGTCTATTCCTGGTGTTCAACTTCTTTGTCGGTATTTAACCCGTGTCAAGACTCGAACCTTTCCCAGCGAAGTTGTACGAGTGTGTAGCGACGTATAAATCCCCGCAAATTATTAATGCATCTGGCTAGCATTTTGATGATGTATTTATGCTTTAAAAAGTCAGTACTGTTAACAAATAAACATTGGTTGACGAGTATACTTATTGAGTTGGGTTGTGTTGAGATCAAACATCATTTTGTTGGTGAGGATTGTTATTGATGAGTTTTGTTGTTACTTGTTATGGTTGACTAAAATAGCAGCTGCTATTATGATTTTTACAATAAGTAAACCGAATTTCACTAATAATTAATAAATCTAATTATTACTGTTATGTTTGAAAAAAATGTCCATTATGTTTGCTGTCGCGTTATTACAAAATGGTAATATTTTCATATTTTTTATTTTTCATATACCTCAATATTTAAATTACTTACATGGATTTGGTAAATAATCAATTTTAATCATTTTCCAAACATCCATGTAATAAATTAACAAACTTAGAGTTATAACAATATTTTGAGGATTATTCATAAATACTTCAATAATTAACATATAATTATTCTCTTGCCTTTTGTGCTATCTATACTTTCTATATTCATATGACGTCACGCGGGTGTTATTTCGACAAGATTCCAGGGCATTAGCAATTTTCGGAACTTCCACTTCGGTCGCTAGTAGTCCGGTGGAGCTATAACGTTGCCTAGGGTGTGCATGCGGGGCACGAGTGCGCGGTGGGTCAGGAGGCGCGGCGGCGCGGCTGCAGCAGATACGACGCGTCCAAAGCGGTGCGAGACCCGAGCCGGCCGAGTAACGCGCGCGCTATACCATTCACGCGCTCCTTCTGACGGGCGCGACATTTCTCAGTAGCGCAACACCCACTCTGTTACACAATATTTGATACATTATAAATACAATGTCAATATATTTCATGGGAATCTGTTATATTTTCGATGAAAACAATTGTTAAAGTTTAAATAGCTTAAGTCGCGCTAAAAACGCTGCTCCATATAATGGCGCTGATCATGAGGTATTTGTGACTTCACATGCATGTAAATACGTCAAGGCGACATAACCTATTTATCAACTATTTATTTCAGAAGTAAACAAATAGTATTACAGAAGAGAAATTGAAGTTAAATTTTACGTTTTGTATTTGTAACTACTCTGGTTTTGTTTATAAAAATGAGCTACAAATTATATGTATAAATACAAATTTAGTGTATCGCTAATAACACTGTTCTCATATGAGATTCCTGTTTACGTGTGATGTCACATGCCGGTAAACAGAACCTGTTATTGATTGCAACGAAAACCAATTACAGGGTGTTTTCGTCGTTAAACCATAATACAGGAAGATTAAATTCCTAAAAAGATTATTATCTAATAAGATGACCACAACATGCAACTTACTTTAAATACTCTATTAAATATAAATTACATTAGACTATTATTAGACTACATCACATACATTGCTCAGATTCCAAGATAATTAGCTCTCGTATTATGGAGTATTTGAGACTACGAAAGTGACTACGACATTATCCAGACCCGAGATAATATAGAAAAGTTCATTTTCTAAAACCAGCGTACGAACCACTGGGTTATGGAGGTCGACAAATTCTCGTATATTAATTGCGTGCTAAATATTAATAGGATATCGTCTAAATTTAAAATCTATCGAAATCACTTACAAAAATGATGTAACTTAAAAAACCGCAAACGCTTTTAGAACGAATGATGATTTGAATGATCAAGAAAACAATAAAAAAAAACCAAAACCCGTTGAAATATTGCAGTTAGCATACTATTTCATTTCACATTTATTTCTTGCTTTCAAAGATATTTGCATCTAACTATAAGCTAAGACAAATTTAAATTAACGATATCGTTCACACAATACCTTAAAAACCGTCGCGACCGCAATCGCTATCATATACTTCGCATATTTTTCAAATATCAAATTGGAAATAAGTATTTCTGTCTTCTTATTTGTTTAAAGAATTGAAAATGCAGCGATCAATATCAATATATTGTGCTGTTTTTATATTAAATTAAGAAAGAATAATTAGTTTACCTTGGAACTATCAGCAACAGCAAGCGGTGTGATTTTCTTTTTAGTGTCCTTATTAGAAGTAATTTTGTTTTTCTCAGCGGGCGCTGCACTTTTCCCTCTGGGTTTCAAGTACTCAGGTGAAACCTCGTGTGGCTATAAATTACATTTAAATTAATAAATAAATGATTAATCATTTAAACTAAAGTTCATGAAATCATGAGTTACATTCTCTAAATCAGAAAAAAACACAAGTTCTATGGAATAATTGAATGCTTCTACTGAAATGGTGTTAATGAATTACAAGTTTAATACATTTTTAAAACACTTGATTAAGCATTTTTCCTACTATGAAATAAATAAATGACTGCAATTAAAATTATAATAAAGTATATCTTCTAGAAGAATACAGTTGTTCTATCTTTATCTAAATATACCAACCAAACTTGTGAATTTTATTTCTAGTATCCCACCTAAAATATTAAACACTTGAAATCTATTACCACATCTACCCCACTTCACCACCAACAGGACGAGACTGAGTGCTAGCAAAGCCATCGCTTTAGTCGGTCTATGCTGGTTACGACTATCTTTTTTGTTAAGTTTGATATTTCTTACTTAAAAAAAGTCAACTCCTAACCCTTCTTTGAACCAAATAAAAATGTAGTTATTTTTTTTATGTCGACTGTACCAGTTAAAATCACCGTCAACCGTAAGATTAATAACCTGGGCGAAAATTTCAATAGTGGTGTAGTCGATTCAAGAGCTATATTAGTAGTTAGCGAGTTCGGTCTACAATGTAAATATCAAACAACTTTCCTAAAGGTCACTAATAGATGGGTAAACCAAAATCTACTATCTTGAGCTCTTCGTTGCTTCGGGAGGCATGTTAAACAGTTGGTCCTGGTCAATAATCCGCTCTGGGCCAGTCTGATGAATTATGGCACATCCATAAAGAATACCTTTATTTCAGTAGATAGGGAAAGACTTTTTTTCCAATCAATTCAAGCCTTAGCCTTCTTTGTTGAATGATTTACAAAATCTTGGAATTTTGCATTAACATAGAGTAGTGGTGAGTATGTGTCCACTTACCGCATATGTGCGCGTAGCCTTGAGCCGGTGCGGGAATGTATCGAAGGCGTAAGGCTTGGTGCAGATGGGATACTTAGGCCGAGAGACCTTCGTAAACAGTCGCGCTGTGCGGTCCACACGCAGCTCGCATATGTACACGTGCTGCTCAGATGCGCCCACCGGACGACCCTGACAACAAACAATCAAATCAATTAGTTATAATTATCTTGTAAACTAATTTCTGTGAGTCAGACCTAAAGTCTAGTGCGGAGGCCTCATTTTATTCGTCTTTATAAATATGTTTGTTAAATATGTAATAGCATAAATAAATGTTACATTACGTAATTTTTAAGATTTGTGTAAACAGAACACATTTTTTATTTATTAAATACTACTATTATTATTATATTGATAACGACAACAGGTAGACAGACGCTCGAATATTGACAGAATATTTAGTTATATAGAGTGGTGGAAAAATGAATAAAATAAAACAAATATTTAAGGGGGTTACCATATAACAAACCTATTTTCACAAAATAATAGCTTTTAAAAAAAGTCTCTTTTTATTATAATTATTTAAAAGTTATAGTTCGATAATGTATAGGTTCTAATTACTCAACACTATAGAGTAATTCATGAATTAGGTATATAATATGGGATATGTCTCATGCAGAGATTTCTGAAGACTTACATTGAAGCTATTATAAATTATCATAAGACCTTATTTGGATAGGCTAACCATGTAGTAATGGATATAACGAAAAACATTACTAACCTTACAGTATGTATTGAGATCCATAACCCAACATTGTGACATTACTAGTTCAATAGGCACAGCCTCATATAATGGTACTCTCATCACTTCATTATGGAAGAATCTGAAAAAAGTTAAACAAAATTATAAATAATGGTCACTATTTTCCAATTTGATATTCATATTGTCGACATAGATACCGCATGATGTATAATTTGTTAAAAATCTTTATTGATGCCAATCTTAGCCGCGAGGTAGGTGGTGGGCGAGTTAACTGCGGCGACGCTATTGGCTAGTACAAGGACACGTATTCCGTAGTGATGGAATTAGGGCATAATCTGTTAAAGATATGTCGATAATTGATCGATGTTAAATGTTACTATTAGATGTCATTAAAAGTATATTTTATTATATTTATTTTTACTTAATTCACAATTTATAGTACTATAAACTACCTGATGGACTCATTTTAGATATTCAATCACAACCAAAATGTGAATTTTTATAACCGTAATAGAAAAAACTCACAAAATACATATTTTTTTACCTGCTACACTTTCTAATTTAAAGTTATGATAAAATGCACTGAGACACAAAACATACATAAAATTTAAAGTGTTGCGACACTGCGCCCATATAAAAATATTAAGTTAAATTTTCAAAAACGGGTTAATTTTGACAAAAAATGCAAAAGTTGCAAACTTTGAATTTTTTAAAAGTGAACAATTATTAAAATAGGATGAAAATTATTAATGAAAATTTAAAATACATATGCTGTGAAATATATTAAAGTAGTTAACATAGGTACTGTAGGTATATTTACGACTGAGACTGAGGACTGAGTACAAATTCTTCCTGAATATAGTAAATTGATATTAAATTGTTGCCAATCAATGTTCACGCATGGCAATTTCGATATCGATCATACCTAGCAAAAACATGCAGTAGCGATACTAGAGTTACATGTGTCTTTGACAAGAAATAAATCGTTTATCACTATATTTTTTAAAGTTTCACAAATATCAACAATATTACATAATAGTTAAAGTTCACTCACTTCCTTGTTGGTTCGTGGAAGGTTTCGTGAGGTCTCAGATAGTGGTGTCCGTAAACGTAACGCTCCTGTGTTTGTTTGTGTTTCCAGAGACGTTCGACGCGGAATATATCCAGTTCCGATACAGCTATTTCACCGATTGTTTGGTAAGTGTGCTTACGAACTTCGCCATCCTATAAACGTCGATTAATGCATTAAATAAGTATTAACAATCGATTGATCGTTAAATGAATTTGATACGTCGGCGTATATTATGAATTTGACTTCAGTTCAAATTCGACACATATACGTGTACATACACAAGCATTTCGCATCGAAATGGATTATGCGTTTTTATAAGATAATTCATTTAAAATAGGGGCCTTATTATTGTTTCTATATATGTTTTATTTGTTCAATCATAATTATTATAAATTGTACGCAGTACAACATATTAAGCAGATAATAATAATTAAATTAAAATATAAATAAAATTCACACCTTATTCTGAGCAGCGTCTTCCGATTTGCCTTTCCCAATATTCTTCAGCTTCTTCCTCTCAATCCGTTTGGTCTTAGGTGAATCTGTCTTATCACCGTTCTTCTGGCTGACGTCAGGGTGCTTATCATCGATAGGAATGTCACGCAGCACATACACGGTATCGCCTTGTCGCACTTGCAAATCACCGCGCATAAGCGACAGGTAGAATTGGTGACCATCCTCCGTGTAATCGTCCAATGGTATTTCGCGATCCACCTAAGAGTAAGGAACAATAATATATGTAAGTCAAAAGGAACAATAAAAAAAATTGCGTGGTTTTTTTGTACGTATTAGCAATTTTTTATTAAATTTGACACAATTTAAAATTATAGTGAAGCCGCGTATAACGGGGTCGCATTAAGCGAGGTATTACTAGTCTTTTTCACATAGCATGGGTACGACGACGTTTGAGATTTGAAGTTTTTAATGATGCTGTAATAAAAATTTAAGGCGTAAGAGACCGAGAAAAAAAACGGGGTCGGTGTGTAGAGGCTTGGGGGGTGGGTGATTTGTGATTTCATTTAGCTAGAAGACCTCTTAGACACTTGACTGCATGAGCTCAAATTTATGCATGTTTGATTTATTCCTATCGGTGCGTGCTGATTGCATAATCAGCAATCAAAGTAATATTTATTTTATTTTCATTTGCGGTTTCGTGCGTAATAGATAAGCAGTACTTACTATAATTCAACACTTACGTATTTCACAAAACAAAACAATGTCGGAAGTAAAAAAAAAAAGAGAAGACCTAGAGAAAATCATAATACTCAGCCAAGTGTAGCAAAACAATTAGTAAATTCGATGACTGCTAAGCAAGATGACGACGGACTTCGAGCTTCATATAATATCTCTTTGTTAATTGCTCAAAAAGGCAAACCACATAACATCGGGGAAAAGTTAATTTTTTTCCAGTAACAAAGGAAATAATAATTATTGTGCTTCATATAAACCGGCCGCAGAGATTATCCGAAATTTCCGAGTAATAATTCTGTGCAAAGACTAATTGATGATTTTTTGCCTACTGCCAACATTTGGAAAACCTCCATATTGACTTCACTGAACGATATCAGGACATTTTGAACTTGGAAACACCATACTGAGTGTTGGATCCGTTTTTAAATGTCTACACAGCAATGTCACCTCAGCTGGAAGAAGAACTTATAGAATTGACAACAAATGAGGAAATAAAAATCAAGTTCAAAAATGGTTACCAAGAACAAAAATCGACACCGCAATCGTACGCTGGATTGTGGTCAATCGTTCAACGATTCTTGATAGCATTATCATCGTCATATTTGTGTGAACGTGGATTTAGTGCTGTGGCAACACTGCTTACTAAAAAGAGAAAACGTCTGCATGTTACCGAAAGTGGCGACTTGCGAATGTACTTGAGTAAATTGGAATCTGATATCAGCAGACTTATCAAACAGCATCAGATTCATCCTTCACATTAGTTTTTATATAAGAATCAATATGTTTGTTTTATTTTGAATAAAATATAGTATGTTTGAATACTATAAAGTTGCATTTCAATAATCATTTTCATAGGCAGGTGTAGCCTGTAAGAGTTAACTTGAACCTTAGCGCCGTTGTGTATTACCTAGTGCGCTTAGATTTCAAGTTAACTCTTGCAAGTTATAGTAAAAGTCTAGTTTACAATTAATGTATAATCTCCACTAATATAAATTACAATTATGAATTAATTTAATTTGAAGTTAGAGTGGTTTCTAAGTAGGTGAAAAATGGTGGAGCTAAAATATTATTTATTCTCAAAGTGGGCAGTAGACAAAATAAGTTTGGGAACCCCTGCTTTAGGTTTCAGTAATTTATGGGTATTAAAAAATATGAGTGTTTTAATATGCAAATGTAAATAAATATCTAATATATACACAGTCAAACTATTTTTTCTTTCAATGGTCGTTTTTATTTAGTTGGAAATAAAAATTGCGTGAAATGGTTTTGTGAAACATACTATGTGAATACTGATGTGTACCTGGTGCGGTCGACAGTGGTGGCAGTAGTGCGGGGCCCGCGTATCAGCCACTCGCATGCAGCGCGCGTGCTGCCACACGCCACATTTGGCGCCACCACACTGAACCATCAGACCCTCCTCCACGTGTAATCCACATATGCACATTATCACCTCCTCTGCAACAAAAACATCGTACCATCAATTTAAAAATAATCTTTATTGAATTAGAATGAAACAATTAACAGTTTTTTATGACAATTTGACTTTCTCTGTTTAAAAAAATCATAAGCAGTATTACTCACCAGATTTTGTCTTCTGCAAGAAACCAGCAGGAAGAGGATCATCAGGCCCGAGTATCTTCGTAAGATGTTCAGCACAATCCGATTTAGCAGCATTATATGCCTAACCAAAAGATAAATACATACAATTATTCAGAGTAAATTTAGAATTTATGTTACTATTTTATACTTTATCAGCAACAACACAAATGTTGGTAGAACATATTTCATTAATAAAACTTTTTATATGTCTGTGATTGCATTCTTTAATTATAACTAATGCATATTTCATCTATAATGGTATACCCAAAAAACGTAAATAATGTACCATGCTCAAATTAACTTTGTGAGAAGATATATCAAACCTAGATAACAAACGACCGGAACACTTTCAGTGGACTAATTTTATACGCAGAAAAACACTTATGACCCGCACTGCTAGCCTGGGTACTATTAGTATTTTTGATTACCTTTTTAAGTGCCATTGCAGCACCGCCTAACACAGACTGTCGTCCATGTTCTCTCATGACAGTGTTAAACACAGAATTCATATCGGCGTCGAACTGTGCCACCGAGTCGTAGTGGCCTTTCGTTATATTCCCCTCTACAGTTGCCAGATCGCCCACCGTTTGTATTAAGTCTTGAGACTTCGCGACTTCAGTCGACTTCAAGAATGGCATACACAGCAGTTTATCTTTATCATCTAGAAATAACGATTTCGTCAAATCAATGTAAGAGTCGTAAAATAATTTTATAAATTAAAACTGTTGTTATCAAAATTGTCTAAATTGCTAAATAGTATATACTAATATGATACTTTGGTTGCACTTCCGGAAATGAAATAAACCTGATAAACATTATTTTAATCTAGTAATTCTATACAACTCATTAAACACACCTTTGACATTAGTGACCGCATCATAGAGCGCTCGGAAGATCTTCTTCAGTCGTGATTTTTTATCGAGTGAAGGGTCATCGTCCAGACGGATTAGGTTTTTGACGGTGTCTTCCTTAGAGGCTCGTATGGCCCGTAAGCGAGCGAGAAATACTGCTGGGTTCATCGTATCGGGGAGAGCGAGAGGGTTAACATTTATATTGACGTTGGGTGAAACGGTGGGCGTGGGGGAAGGAGATGGCAATATGGGACCTGTCGGCGCTGCTACCGGCACTGGCACCGGCACCGGCGCCGGCGCTGGCGGGGATGGCGGTACGCCAATAGACAGACGATCTCTAATACGACGTACCTGAAAATTCAAATTCACACTAAATTACAAGATATGATGATATCATCGTACTTATTATCATTACACTAAAACAGTGCTATAAGGTTTAGCGTCAGAGTAAATTTACACTTTAAGATTAAATTTACTAAATTTAGCAATTTAAGTATTAGTCCAAATTCATATTATACAGAAAATAAGCAAACGTACTACCTTCTAGGAGTAAATGTTACTCCCGTAGAACCTCATACAAGGTTAACCTTTGCTAAGCCTCTGTTTAATAATATGAATTTTAACTAATACTTGGTGCAATTTCAGCGTTAACTTACTCCAATGTTAAACCGAGTTTATTAATTACACTGAATGAGTTTATTCCAAATAGCTTTCAAAAGTAATCAAGGAAGGTATGAGAAAATGTGTGATAAAACTAAGAAGACGATGATTCCCCGTCCCGGACAGTCTCGCTTTAGGGAATATCTGTTTTGCTATCCAGCCTATGCAAAATTGTCCCACTTTTGTGATCCAGATAATTTCTCGGTTTTTTTTTGTAATAAATACGTCATGCAATAACAAGTCATGATAACTGTTATTTTATTCTCTGTTATCACTTAAAACTACTCTTCTTTCAGAAGCGGATTTATTCCGCCGACAATCATGATATATTTATAATCTCAGTCTAATGTAATAAATTACATTTTATCAATATATTATATCCTTGTTTAGGGTCCCTTTTAGCAAACAATATAAATAAACGGTCGCAATAAAACCGACAATATTAAAAACCTACTTGAATATACTATATTCAATATAAATTTCAGGAAATATGATTTTAACTTACATTTTCCAGATTCCTGAATAAGAAACAGTGCCTTTCTTTTACTAAAAGTCTCTCTTTAGCTGTGAGCGGTTTCATTTGCGGCTCCTGCCATAGTTTGTTCAGATGCTGTTGATATTTTAATATTGTCATGTTTTTAATATCGCAAGCGGTGACACTCTGCTGTTCGGACTTTTTATTACACTTGACAGCTTTCCTTGGACGACCGACCCGAGGCTGATTGGACGCCTGGGATTGGTTAGAAGCATTGGACGGTGTACGAGATGGAGTTTTGACTGGAAGCTTCGTAATCCTCTGGGATTTTCCTCCTATAACACCGCGACAGTCCTCCGAATCACATTTACATGGCTGCAATAGATAGAAAATTATTATTTATAACATTTTATAAAATATCCATTTAGGTCATAAAAATGTAGATCCTAAACTTTATAACATACCTGTCCCACAGCAGGATTAAAAAGGGAGAAATTGTAGTCGTATGTCAATTCTTCGCCAGGTTCTATATCCCGTAAAGCAAATAGAGCCATCCTAAATGTTCCTGTAGACATCAAACTTGTTATGTAGCTTTCATTAAAGTATCTAACGACGTGGTCCGTCATGCAAATCTTGCTCAGTCATGAAGTTTTATGTTAACACAAAATCTCATTCCAAGTAACAAAATTAAAAATCTTTTATCGAGGTTAACCTAAGCATGTGTGCGATATTGGAAAAACAACCTCGTATAGAGAAAAGCCAGAAACAAACTCCGCTCATCTGTATAGCATACCATTAGAAGTCCACTTCTGCATCTCACAGTTAGGGCGGCAGGAGTGATTGACGAAACGTCCGTCACCGCCCATACGGTGTCCATCTATCACCAAACCCCCGTCCAAGTGCAAGCAATAGTGATGAGTATCACGCGCGTACCGTGTCGCCATACGCTCCTATACAAGATATTCAGAAGTGTTTAAAACAAGCTGTCCCAGCCGACCTTATACTGCCCTATTTCTCTAAATTATTATATTTTGTTCGTAATGAAATGCAGCCTCTAATTAAGATAAAGAAAGATGATCCAAGGGCGCTTTTGCCTTTGTTTTGCATTGCTTGATGCCAAATGTTTGACAGCTGCGTATTGAATGTTTAGTATGGGATAAGATAATTCTTTTTACTACGAGTATTTTCCCCATAATTTCTCTCCCTAAGAACCTTCCGCAGACATCTTCACACACGACAAAAAAGAAATCAACCAAATCAGTTCAGCCATTCATTTATTTTATACAATATTTATTGGATAAACAGAATAAAATAAAAACCTGGTTCAAAGATGCAACTTTTGTTTTAACGAAATGTAGATTTTTAGTTACTCATCAATTTTAAAACAATACAATAGGATTAGGCAATAACTTTTTTCCTATTTGCAAATAAGATACAATGAGGAAGTATTAAAAAAATAATTCATTCCCGAAATCTAACAAGATGTCGCTACGGTACGTTCTTGATTTCTCCATGACAACCTTTCCGGTTTTCTTTCAAGTTTAAAAGTAAATTAGTTTTAAAAACTCAATAAACAACTCATATTCTATTTGTACTTTTTCGTATGTATACACATATCTAAGTTTCGAACTTCTCAAATTTCAGTTATTTAATATGTTAGTTAAAAGGAACGGAAATGACTGTCTTTGGTCCATTCGTTTCCTGCAAAAATCAACTTTTGCTGGAGTCGCTATCTAGTGGAGGTGCTTTTTTAGTGCTTTCGTTTTTTTTTAATACTTCCTCATTATACTTCAAACCAACGATATTACAGTAAAAAGGGTAGATAGGTTGTTAGAATTCAAAGCGTCAACTTAAAACTACGCTAATTAGCATACCTGAGCGCAGTCTGGCGAAAGCGTTGATTATGAGCGTTTATGTACCGTAATCATTTTAAAAATACCATCCTGTGTTATGCGAAACTGTGAAACAACAGAAGTAACGACCAGTTGCACAAACGTCCATTAAAATTTTCATTAGTTTAAAACGACATTACCAATACAAATATGACATTAATAAGAGCTTAAAGGCGTCATTAAATCTTAATGGACGTTTGTGCAACTGACCGTAAGTGTTCTCAATACCAAGAGGTCACATTTCATTCGTAAGTAAACATTTATAATTAATTCGCGATTTAATCGGAAAAATAAATAACGTGTCATAAAAAGAAAGATTAAATACTCTGGTTACAAATTGTGAAAAAGATCTGTCAATGATTATGTAAGTTAAGAACGGACAATTCGACTCTAGTGCCTACTTTATCTTTATCTTTTAAAAAATTGCATGATTAGAATATTTGCACGCCTGTTCTCGGGTAGAATACTGTACCTATATCATTATTTAATTTTGTGACCTCTTAACTTGTATTCTGGCTAATAAAGATCTTATCTTATCTTACGCTCTACCTTACATTTATTTGAGAATCTATATGAGACTGAAACTCCGTTAGAATTCGGAGCATCAAAACGTAACTAAGGAGTTAGGCTAAAAAATACTCTAATTCCGATTTCGAGCGAAGCCCTCATGTTATTATACATATTATATATCAGTTTTCTAGTTTATTTTATCGCTTGAAATTGTCTTTATTTATACACGGGCAAATAATATATACACCAACGACAAGGAGAAATAATAATGTTAGACATCAACATTTTTAAGTTGAACTGTTGATCGAAGTCTTTAACTCATTTAGGTTAAAATAGGCATTAAACATGCATTAAATCATTATACGTTTGGTCTGTAACATGGTCAATTATAATCTACGAATAATTGGAGAGTATCGTGCCATATGCGTGTGTATATGCTGGAGACATTTGGAATTTTTGACATTGTATTAGTACCGACGTGACCTATCTTCCCTTTTTTATTGTAATATCTTTGCTTAACACCATGTAATAAGTACTCTTAACAATTAATATGCTGATAAGCAGACTGCTTGAAATTTTTTATGAAATATTTTATGTAGAATGATCACCAACCTTAAACTCCTTATCAGAAACTACTTCTCCCACGTACTCTAGAATAAAATCGCCAGAAGGTATTTTGTGTTTCGTTCGCACTCCCCACCCTTTGTTTTCCGTCATAAATTTCTCTAACCCCGAAGCCCATTCATGACGTTGTATTCGCTGATTTTTGCACTTGTCACTGAAAACAATAAAATATAATAGAATTTCATATAATTGTATATAAAAATACAATAAAAACTTTCAGTTATTATTATTACCCGCACGGGCAAAGCTGCGGTGAACATTCACAGAAAACAAGCCTATTGATACAGTCTTCATTGCATCCCGACGAAGGAGCACAATTGCACGCAACACTTTCACATTCATCTGTAGATGGTTTTACGTCATAGTAAACATCTAGAACAAATAAATAATTTAGTTACTATCACACTATAGATAGATCAATAATTTGATAACTTTGATTGATTAAACATACTTGTGCGAATCTTTTTGTAGTTCCATGAAGGTACTGGTTGATTATA